TGGCACGATCAGACTCAAACTTCGATCGTGCGATCACAATAGTACCAACTATAAGCATGCACGAGCAGAAATCAGTGTGATGACTCATCTTCAGCATGGTTACAAGTTTTCTTGAGCATAAAAATCTGTTCAAGCACATTTGTATATATTCAACACCGACAGAACCGACCTGTGTTTTATACTGCAACTGTACTGAATGGACCTTAGTTGCAGTCGAAATATGTACCCCAGGGTCACAAACGATTTTGAATTCAGTTTTCATTCTCCTATATTGCTTCTCAGCTAAGACAAGAGGGTCCATTCTGCGTTGCTGCAGGGGGGGGAGAGATGAAATGGATTCATACCTTTCCCAGGGGTACTTGCGCGAAAGTGAATGTAACCGGAATTCGAACTCGGCTCGTTAACTTCATCAATCCTACACTATGTAGCAATATGAGTCAGCCGATTTGTTCAATTTAAAATAAAAGCGGGACTTGTTGCAACGATCGACACGGAACACTTACTTACGTCCGATGGTTATCCATAAGGGATATCAACTTCAAAATACAGAGCAAGACGCTCAGAGAGAGAAAAAATGACGGAAGGTAAATTATTTTTTTTTTTTTTAGTCGATGATGACAAGACAAAAGAAAATTACTGTCTATGAAACAGTTCATCACGCGAAAAAGAAAAGAAAGGAACGAAGCGGGCCTTGCAGAACGGGCATAGAAAACGGCCGCTGGACTGTGCACCCCCTTCACATACGCCTCATCACTAATTCACTCGCTTATAACACAAGGTTACAACCCAATAATAAAATCTGGTTGACTACTAGAAATTATTTTGTTCTTCACCCGATCTGGCCTAAGGGTAAATTTTAAGCTACAAACGTTTGACTGAAAGAAACTGCACCCTGTCAACGAATCTGGCGTCTGGTCTGAGCTACAATGCAACATAACGATTGACCCTTGACTTAAAAAAGGTTACGCGTAAATTATTCAGGGAAGTATCCCCGCGTGCGTCTGGGCAACAAAGTATCATTCGTTCTTCTTATCGTCCTCATTAATGTGTCTTATAAATTTCTATTGTCCCTTTTTAAGTAAAAACGCCCTTTTCACTATTTACATTATTCGGACTATTGTCCTCATCTTTGTCGCCATATTTATTACAATGCCCGCCTTTCATCTTTGTCGAGATGATTTATTACACTATTTACATTATTCGGACTATTGCCCTCATCTTTGTCGCCTTATTTATTACAACGTTTCGGACGTTGTACGCTCCGGCCTTCTTCAGGGGTTTGGAATGTCGAACTGAACCCTTTATTTCGCTCTCTGGGGTAGACTGTTCTAGTTCCACGTGCCATGTTTAATGGATATCAGTTATCTCCTGTTAATTCCATTCTCCAAGCTCTCCACTGCCTTAACCGGGTATTGAACTCACACTATTTGGGTCCTGTCACTGGATCTAACCAACGTCTTTATCCACTGTGCCATGTGTCCTTGAGTTCAATACCCTGAAGAGTCCTCCAAAGTGAAACGTATGACTCCTGCTGGTGAAGTCCCCATGGAAGTCAACAGGGTCGGCCACACACTCCGCAAGGCTACTTCTAGTGTCATCAGGCTAGAATCCACAAAGGAAGCGAAAAGTGGGTCGACCAAAACAGACTTCGCAGAAGTGTTGACTCAGTGGTGAGGGCAGCCGGCACGATATGGACCGAGCTGAAGAGGCTCGCCCGGAACCACGTCCGTTGGAGAGGTTTTGTTGTGGCCCTATGTTCCCCAAGGAATCAAGAGGTATAATGATGATAATGAATAATCAATAAGTCCGTAGCTTAATAAGGAAAAAATATTTATTTTACACAATAAATATTTATCAACGTTATCTCGTTTCTCATCAATACGCTTAAATCAGTGCTGAATATAGAGAGAGATCAAGAAATTTATAGCCGAATGATGAAAAAGCAGTTATTTTACATAATAAATATTTATCTTTTCAAAATAATCTCAATGCAGTTAATTCGGCGTTGAATATGTTGCTTGATCAATAAGTTTATAACCTAATGATGTCAAATTATTTTTCACGATAAATATGTATTTTTCAACGTAATCCACATCTTTATCAATGCACTTAATTCTTCAGTTCTCCATCGATCATATTGATCAGGGTTTCCTAAACTGGTAAGCGATTTCAGCTTTTGTGTGTGCGATGAGCAACTGAACAGAAAATGATGGGTGACTGTAAATTTTAATGGGCGATATAGGATTTTCCTTTTTCTTAATACTTTTCTTAACTTTTGGAAGGCATCTTTCGCTATCCTAATGCGCCTTCGGTGCCAATTTGTTAATTTTACTGGGCGATATGATTTTTTGAGTATTCTAAAGGTATTTCAACATATGCTACACGAAAAAATATTCAAACGAGATATATGAAGAACCTGTATATAAAAAAAAACAGATGGCTAAACGAAAATAACTGGGTCACATTCCTAGATATAAATATCTCTTTTGTTTACAGTTTCTCAAACATGTTGCCGTTGTTCACATGTTCAGTCCATGGCATCCTCGTCATCCTTCTGTAGAATCCCGTTTATGTTGCCTCAAGTCTCTTCTTCCTCTCTGGGGATATTGTCCAACATTCACTGCCATACATGAGGATTACATAACATTTCTATATTTTTCTTTGTTTCTAGCGAGATTTTTCATTTTTCTTAATACTTTTCTAAACTTTTGGAAGGCTTCTTTCCCTATTCTAATGCGTCTTGAAATGTCGCTGTCAGTTTGATAATTTTAATGGGGGATGTAGGATTTTTGAGTATTACAAAGGTATTTCATTATATGCTACACGAAAAAATATTCAAACGAGATATACAAAGTATATGTATAAAAAACAGACGGCTAAACGAAAATAACTGGGTCACATTCCGAGATATATATCCCCACAAACAGGGAATATTTTTTGCATTTTCTGTAGTTTTAAGAAGTCATTAATATTCAAATAGTTCTTCAGACGAAATAAAAACAATTTCAGATATAAATCAGATAATGGAAGGCCAAAAACAACAAAAAATATCAGCTGGATATGACTATACCAGAATTGCTGATGGCTGCCATTGATAGAGCGTTGGGGGGAGATTCAGTGTTGCTTCTGTATTCGGATCCCCACCCGCTACGATTACAAAAGTCGAGGGGATGGTGATAATGTTGGTGTATATTCCTTTTTAATTTTATAATTATGAACAAAAATCGTTTAATTTTTTGTCAACATTAGCAATGCTAACCCTAAACATAAAACTAACTATGGCCATAAAACTAAATTATATATATATATATATATATATACTTTTCAATGGTCAAATTTGCTTTTGTATGTTCTTTAATACGAAAGCAATTGCCGCAGCCGAATAAATCAGTGTTATTTGTTACCTCCCTTTGGTATTTTTTATTACATCGTAAAAGTTAGTTTATGAAGTCGTAAGAAACTTTTACCAAACAATTTTGGTATAATTTTTAATATTTACTATACAGGTGGAAAATATTTCCATGTGAAAGGGGGAGATAACGAAAAAAAAAGATTAGACAATCCTGGGCTATAGTTTATTGCCAATTAGAAATCAGATAAAAGAAAGATCAAGAACAATAAATAAATATTTGCTGAATTTTTATTTGTTGCTAGTCGTCTATAGTCTTTTTAATTTTATAATTATGAATAAAAAAATCGTTTAATTTTTTTGTCATCACTTGCAATACAAACTCTATCCATAAAACTTGGCCATAAAACTAAATTATATATATAATCCCGATGGTCAAGTTAATAATACGAAAGCAGTTGCCATGGCCTCATAAGTCAGCGTTATTTGTTACCTCCCTTTGGTATTGTTTTACTACATCATAAAGTCAATTTATGAACCAGTAACAAAGCGATACAAAGGACAGGAAATTGTGGAGAGCCATGATCGTCTACGTTCTGAAAGAGCACGGCACATAAAAGTAAAAGAAAAAATTTTTACCAAGCAGTTTTGGTATAGTTTCAAATATTTACTTTATAGGTGTGCAGTGGAATTTTTTCCATGTGAAAGTGGGCGGTGGCGCAAAACAATTTAGGCACCCCTGACCTAGATCAGATTAACAATTATAGAGTTACTGTTAAAATCAAAATTTATCTCGTAAGTATGTTAGGCTACGGACTTACTGATCCATGCTCGTAATCGAAAGAATGCAATGATAATTTAGCTTCATTGGTTTAGTTTGGTTTGTATTACAGCATATCAACCTCAATGCCAAGTAATTTTTACTGCGGCTAATATATTTTTATTTCAAAAATTGAATTTTGGTAATATTTTTCCTTCAAAAAATCTATTTCTGGTAATATTTTTCCTTCAAAGATGTATAGCTGGTAATAACTTTTTTCCAAAAAATGTGTAGCTAGTAATATTTTTTTTTTTAAATGTATTGCTGGTAATACTTTTTTTACAAAATATTTCTGGTATTAAAACCTATTTTTACACTTTCATGCTTTGACCCCAGTTTGGGGAGGGGCAACTATTTGCCCATAGCTGCTACCCTGACAGGTGCTACCACTCAGGGTGGAACTGAGAACACCAGCAATTAAAAGGTGGTTCCACGCTCCTCAAACCTCCTGCCGGGTGTAGTTTATCGTCTTACCCAGGACGCGGATGTAGTTTATCGTCTTACCCAGGACGGAATTTAGCTTGAATAGTTAGATTTGTTTCTTATAAGAAAGAAAACGAAAATGAAAAGCGTTCGGAAGAACAATCTCTGTTTGCGTGCGTTTCCTTTAAGAAATATGAAGAATCCCAAATTCTACACTCCTTACAGATTCTTAAGTGATGTCTTCGAATTATTCCTGCCTTAAAAGTACATTCTTGTACTTGCAAAATCATTTATTGTTAAGTCGACCAACTATATGTTTTTTGATCGTCTGTTCTCCTCAACGATTCTTCCTTTTTCTTTCTTTTTATCCTCCAATTTATTAGAGGCTTCAAGAGTGGACATGATGTAATGACCCAACCAATGTCAATTCCCTATCCTATGATTGCTGCCTCTAACAAACCACTCCTTGTTCTAAGTGCCCGTCTCACTCGCATTCATCTCTCAAATCACTCAGGCTTCACCTCGGCTGAGAAAATAGCTATAATGGCGCTGTGAGTGAAAATTTCATCATGTGATTTCAACCATGTACAATGCGCTGAAGATCAATCAAAGGAAGTATTTTTTGAAGTGAAGATTGCATTTTATTTGGTGTTATATATGCGTTTCCTCATTTTTTTCCATCCAGCTATCTCAATATATAGAGAGATATATAACTATTTCTGTCTATCTCTCTACCTATCCCCCCTCTCTCTCTCTCTCTCTCTCTCTATATATATATATATATATATATATATATATATATATATATATATATATATATATATAGGCAAATATATAGAAAAATAGGAAAGAAAACGTTAGGTAAATAATCCGAAGTTCTTTAGTATTTTTGTTTTTATTTAAAAAAAAAAACAGTGCTCAATACATAAGTAGAGCCTAAATTATAATTATTTTTTAAAAATATGATTCCTTCGCTACATAAGAGTTTTCATGTTTCAAAAAACAAGAGCCAAAAACTTCAATATAATTATTAAAATTAAACTGAATTCAAGCTCTGTTTCATCCTCAAACGACACTACCACAAACGTCACTTGCTGAGAAAGTCGCCAATGAAAGACTCTGTTAAAAGTTGCGCAAGTCTCGCGACTAACTTGTGAAAAGCACCCAACCGCCGAACATAACCAAAGAGAAGATAGGCTGCCAAAAATATTAATGAAAGTTTCTCATTTCTTTCATGTTCTTTGACACAGATCATCCAGACTTCTGTAGTTTCCAGGTATCTTTGAAGACCGATTGCTGTGGTTTTGTGAGGCAGTTGAACTAATCCTCATCCTCCTTCGGAACTGAGCACATACAGACATCAGCCTTAGATTATTATTATTATTAATAATTCTCATTTTATTTAGGAACTTTTTTAGTCGCAAAGGCCGGAACAGTATCTCAACAATTTTCAAAAAAATAATTGCAAGTGATTTCGATAATCAGAGAGATGCGGAATTTTAAACTGAAGCCTTGTGCAAAAAAAAGCCAAGTATATAGTGATTTTCTAAGCTCAGCTGTTGCACAAGGTCGAAAGTATGGGGCACACAGTTAGGATCAAACTCACTACTCAGTCGTAAATGATTTAGCGAGATAAGCTTATTAACCACTACACCATGCCGGGGCGCCCAAAAACGTCAAGTATATTTGTTTATTTCTTTATGGTAAAATATTCACTGAAATATTGTGATTAAAAAGTTGTTTTTATTCTTCTTTTTAATTTAATATTACAGAAATTACGCAGTCGTCTACATTTGCGTCTTTCTTTCTTTTTATATATTTTCTAAGTTTCTACTTACCCTGGCATCTTTACAATTTCCTGAGAATCATTCTATTCTCTCTCTCTCTCTCTCTCTCTCTCTCTCTCTCTCTCTCTCTCTCTTCTTCTCTCTCTTTCAATCGCTGTTTCTTACTCTCTCCCTCTCTTTCCCTCTCTCTCTTCCCCTCTCTCTCTTCTTCTCTCTCTCTTCCTCTCTCTCTCTCTTCAGTCACTGTTTCTTATTCTCTACCGCTTTCTCTCTCTTTCCTTCTCTCTCTTCCTCTCTCTCTCTCTTCTCTCTCTTTCAATCACTGTTTCTTAATCTCCGACTCTCTTTCCCTCTCTCTTTCCCCCTCTCTCTCTTCCTCTCTCTCTCTTTTCCTCTCTCTCTCTTTTCCTCTCTCTCTTTCAATCGTTGTTTCTTACTCTCTCCCTCTTTCCTTCTCTCTCTTCCTCTCTCTCTCCTCTCTCTTTCAATCACTATTTCTTACTCTCCGTCTCTCTTTCCGTCTCTCTTTCCCCCTCTCACTCTTCCTCTCTCTCTCTCTCTCTCTCTTTTCATCTCTTTCTCTTTCAATCACTGTTTCTTACTCTCGCCCTCTATCTCCCTCTCTCTTTCCTTCTCTCTTTCCCTCTCTATCTTCCTCTCTCCCTTTTCTTCTCTTTCAATCACTGTTTCTTACTCTCCTCCTCTCTTTACTTCTCTCTCTTTCCCTCCCTCTCTCTCTTTCCCTCTTTCTCTTTTTTCTTCTCTCTCTTTCATTCACTATTTCTTACTCTTTCTCTCTTTTTTTCTTTCGCAACTTTTGTCCATATTTCTGTATCATTTGTTCGTTACTCTCTTTTCTTTTCTTCTTTCTCCAATTTTTCTTTCTTGTTGACCCTTCCACCCTCCTTTCTTTCTGCGTAATATTTTATCCGCTCCACTCCCCCCCCTCCTCATCTCTTTATTAATCAGTAGCTCTTCGCTTCATTCGGCTTTCATCCACCAGCAACTTGCAGAATTTCTTCATCTAAATAAACATTTCAAAGATGTCCAGTTAGGCGCCAAATAAAACAGTACCTAAACCCCATACCACAACCCAGAAAGCAATAAGCATTCTCCTATTGGATAAGCTAGTAAAGAGGACGCCTCAGAAAGCATAACATTTTCCTGTCAGATTATACGAAGGAAATACAACATGTCCTTGATCGGAGCTTATCTATAAATTGCCATGATATCTGAAGAAAGATAGCGGAGTGGTTTCTTATTGCATTCTCCACTATTTCAAATTCAGAAATTGTCAATCTCTTAAACTGTCTGCCACTCAATGGGGCGTCTATCTAATCTACTATTTAATCCATACATTGGGAGAGAATAAAAGAATTCATGCGGAGTGAACGCATCTTTTAATTAAGTGGTTTCCGGTTACCTTTTCTACATTTTTGAATTCAGAACTGTCTTTCTCCAAGACTGGCTGTCACCCATAACCAGAGAGTCTAACGTACCCTGAAAGTTAACGTACCTTGAAAAGTAACCCAGAGAAGAAACGGATATATCCAAAATGAATGCAACATGAATTCGATTCGCCGATAGCCGGTACACTACCTTCAAACCTTCATTACATGTAATTTTATTCTAAATCTATATCAGCGCATTCTGAAGATGATAGCTTAGGTTTTGCAGAATAAATGTCGTATTTTGGAAATTGAAAGAATACAAACAAAAGCTGGAATCCATATGGGAAAAGAAAAAAAAATGTCTGTTTGACATATGAGACAGAGTAGCTAAGCGGAAGATAGATAATGCACAAACCGATACCATATCCCCGAGCCCAGGTCGACCATTGTGTGAGAGGCGTCAAGTGGGCGGAAGTGGTCGTGCGCGCGTGCGCGCATACACCATAAGTATCGACACATATTATATCGGCAATATGAATGATAAATTCTTCCCATCTTTTCTCGCCTATCGAAATAAAAATAAAATACTCGACACACACACACAAAACGCATATATATATATATATATATATATATATATATATATATATATATATATATATATATAGGCAGTATATCTTCATTCATGCATGTCTGATTGAATAATCCAGAAAAATGTCTATTTATTTTTATTTTAACCCTCTCAAATTCACGGATCAATTTCTTAATGTTGTCATTAAACTTCTTAAGGAAGTTGCCGTAGTTTTTTTCAGTTCTTTTATTTTCCCAAGTACATGATATTTGATTATAGTAGTGAAGGTTTTGTGCAGAAACATCCACACTTTTTGAAGGGCCAAATACACAGACCTGGTGCACTATGTGCCACAAGGTCCCCAAACAACCCTCCGAAGGTTTTGAATTCAGAGCTGTCCTTCTCCTAGACCAGTTGCCATCGAAGGCTATAAAACCCAGTCTGTCCTGCTATTTACCCATATCTGGAGGGAGAAGAAGAGGATTCACATCTTTCCCTAGGGTATTAACACGTAAATGAATGTAATGGATTCGACTGGAATTCGAACTCGGCTCACGGATTCCTCAAGCAGCTAACCATTACTCTTCCTCCTATGTAATTGTTGTGGATTCCAGGGGGATATCCGGTACCAATAAATAACAAACGCCAAGAATGAATATAGGAAAATAATGTATTAACGTAATAATACAAACTGGTAAAGCAGGTTAGTAGTTACAGGAATACGGGTTAGTAGCAAAATATCTATACAGTCTTTGGTATTGAATTATCGCTGTATGACTTCTTACTGAGTCTACGTGCTCGCTCACGGTGACTCTTGCTGGCTACGTTCGTTCTGTCTGTCTGTTACCTTACTCTCACTCTTCCGGTTACCTACAACCTTTCACTCCCCTCTCTAGTTTTCAGGTAGCAGTAGTATATGTATATACTGGGTGAGTCCATTTGTGTAAAAAAGGGAGGACCCCTCAACAATAATAATAATATATAATTACTTGAAAAATATATATGTACTTGATATATATATATATATATATATATATATATATATATATATATATATATATATATAGGAAATGGACAAACAATTATTTTTAAGACATTTTTATGTTGTTTAATACTGTTTATTATAAACAGGGCATTTACTTAAATATTTGTATCTATAAAAAGAATGTATAAACATAAAAATGTCTTTTATATATATATATATATGTGTGTGTGTGTGTGTGTGTGTGTGTGTGTTTAAAATCTTTTCATCTGTAAAATAACGACCAACATTCATATTTCATAAACTTATCTAACAATTAATTTAAAAATTAACATTCATCAGAAAATTTTCACGAGTCTTTTTAGTATAAAACAATTCGAAGATATACAATAGAAAAAAAAGGAGTATTTATTTTTTTAAAAATATGTACACATTTCCGACTTAGAAACGCAGAAAAAGACCAATTAATAAAACTGCTCTTAACCTTTAGGACGGCCTCGAGATGCAGTTTCGAAACCAAGTGTGTCCCGATATAGGTGCTACTCTTTCTTATTATCTATTACGAATAGGGCCGCTATTTTTTCTCTTCCCTCGATGACGTCCCAGATGTTGAAAGCCAGCGGATTCAAATCAAGAAACCTAAAATCAAGTTCTCGGTTATCTACCCCTGAGGCATGTGAGACATTAAAAGAGACCAGAGTCCTACTGAAACATGTACGGCTTTCCCTGAGCCAATCCCTGATCCAGGGCGTGACCACCGTGTCCATTACTTCAATATAGACGATGAGAGGCTGTGCGGGGAGAAGAAGTGGGGTAAGATGACATGGCTCCCATTACTCACACCTCTCACAGACGACGTGAACTTGATGTGCCTGACCGGGTATGCTGGGTTCCACGCAGTGACGTGCTCCCTCTTCATAACAGTGTCAAGAAAGTGATTATCTCCAATTCGCTGTAGTTGGCGGCCATTACCGCGGAACGCAGCATGATTTTCATTTCATGTGTTAGATTGGAAACCGCCATAATAATGTTTTCATAGATCTGAAAGTGAAATAAACATGTTAAAATCTGAAGTGTAACATTACATCAGTTGATTTACCATTTATAATCCACTAAACATGTGTTCGCAGCTTACCAAGATACCAACACACGTCTCGTCGAATAGCAAATTCATTTTTCTAACAACCTCGTAAACGATGTTCCTTATGCGAAATAATCTTTGAAGTCATCCCCTGCAGCACAAATGGATTCACACATCACCAGCCAACGAGACCTTATCAGACAAAACCAGGATACGACTCACAAATCTAAAATTCAACAAAATCTCAACAATTTATACAAAGAATCCATATTCTTACCCGATTACTCCGAAATACAAATAAAATACTCGACACACACACATAAACACACACACGCATAGATAGATAGATAGATAGATAGATAGATAGATAGATAGATAGATAGATAGATATAGGCAGTATATCTTCATTCAAGCATGTTTGATTGAATAATCCAGAAAAATTGTCTATTTATTTTTATTTTAACCCTCTCAAATTCGCGGATCAATTTCTTTATGTTGTCATTAAACTTCTTAAGGAAGTTGCCGTAGTTTTTTTCAGTTCTTTTATTTTCCCAAGTACATGAGATTTGATTATAGTAGTGAAGGTTTTGTGCAGAAACATCCACACTTTTTGGAAGGGCCAAATACACAGACCTGGTGCACAATGTGCCACAAGGTCCCCAAACAACCCTCCGAAGGTTTTGAATTCAGAGCTGTCCTTCTCCTAGACCAGTTGCCATCCAAGGCTATAGAACCCAGTCTGTCCTGTTATTTACCCATAGCTGGAGGGAGAAGAAGAGGATTCATACCTTTCCCATACAAGTTCGACACTTTGACGTGGTGTAATGGTTTGACAAGTTTGTCACGCTAGATCAAATCGCGACTAAGTAGTAAGTTTAAACCTTACTAGATGCTCCACGCTTTCGGCTTTAGGCCACATCTAAGCTAATTCTTCTTCTTCTTATTATTATTATTATTATTATTATTATTATTATTATTATTATTCAAGTGAATGATTTATGGTTAATAAAAAGTTTTTATTTAATAACAATATCACTTGACCTCTACAAATTAATACAGAATTTTAAAAGATTTAAAACTTTATAAATTATTCTAATTAAAATTTTAAAACAATTCAAAACATTATTCATCGAAAAAGATTTTCTTAAGACAATTATATCCATAATATATTTTATTCATAAAAGCATTTAAAAGCATTTCTAATTGCATTTTTTATTTTATGATTTAGAGCAGATTTTCTGCCACTTGGTGTACTGTTTGACCTTTAATAATTTGATGATTTAAATTATCCTCGGATTTGTCCTTATGCCTAAAATAATCGCTACAAAAATAACTCGAATTTTCATAAAATTAAATAAATGGAGGGGTAATAGATGTAAAAAAAAAAATGTTTACCTAAATTTTCTAAAAATAAAAAAAACATTTACAAAATATTGTCATTCATTTATTTGTGTATCAGTCCTGTAAGTTTAATTAAAATCCGACAAGAATTTTTGCAAGAATTTTCAAATCAGTTTGTTTTTCGTCACAAAAAGACACTCAAATTTCCCATACAAATTTATGAACCCACGTTGACGCCAGGAAAACAAGATGCTTAACCGAAGTTTCGATGGGTTTAAGAATAAGTTCTACATTAAAAAATGTTTCCTCTTAATAATAACTAAAATCTTGACGATAAAACATTTTGGACATTTTTTTATCATGTATGCTCATTTTGTAGTTGTAAACAGTCCAACAGGCAATGTAGAAACGACAAAATGGGGTCACACATCCAAGCTTCACTTCTAACCAGCAAAAACGCATGTTCGTCCACCAAGCTAAAAAAATCCAAATCTCTCATAAGCGAAAAACAGCGGCTTCTGTTCACCAAGAGATCCTTCTGATTGGTCACGCCATTCAGGGGAGGGAAAAACATTAGCATAGATTCTGGTCCTTAAATT